TCTTTTACACCAATTGACAGAGACAATTTCTAGCTCAGTTACAGTTTTAATGAAATCTTTGGGCTTATGCTTTCTCCCCACTGAGATGCTACATGCAAAGGATATTCCGGTTATTGCTTATTCCTGGCAGGTGCCTCTCACAGACACAAATCCTCTGTTGCATCTCCCAGGGAGGCTTTAGGAGGCTGCTCTCCATCTCCTACAATGCTCACAATTTCTGTGTTTGTGATTCTGAATGCTACAAGAGGAATGCAAAAAGCTATTTTTTCCCTAAATCCTTTGGTGATCTCAGATACATCTTTGTGGCCTTCAAAGATCTGCAAGAACAACTGAGAACATTGTGGACTGCAGTGCAGGGGAGCAGCAGCTTTCTGAGGGTATTGCAAAGTCTGATCCAGGCAGTGAGGCTGCCGCAATGCCTCTGTGGCTATCTGACTGGGATCCAGTTCATAAGAGCCCAGGCTTGAGTGTTGCCTCCCCTGAACAGGACACTCATTTGCTAACAGCTTTGCTCTTACGTGCTCTTTTTCTTCTGGAGCTCCATCCAGAGCTCAGGCTATGTGGCTGTAATTCTTAGCCTTGATACTTTAGAGCTATCATTTCCTCTCTTTACTCCTGCAGGACTTGATCCTATGGTTGTTTAAGAATCAAATTATCCCTGCAGACTGGTGGGGTGGATGGCCTGTGAACTTGGCCTCTTGGCACGGAGGAAGTCAGTGGAGATCAGCATCAGCAAACAGGCAAAGGGCAATTTGCCAGTGTTGTGTCCAGCTGTCCTTCCGTAGCGGTGGCAGCAGCGGGGCAGGGAGGGCAGCTGTGCAGGAGACAAATGCTTGAATTAGATGCAGCTAAATCCTCGTGCAAACATGAATCAGAGTCCTACTGCTATCTCTTGCTGCAGTAAATTGTTCGCCAGCCCATGCCATACTTGTCTCTCTTACACCCATACACAAGCAGATAATTGTTGGTTCAGAGTCTGTGATGGCCTTGCCCTTCGTCTGGACCTCACACACTGACATTTCCTCTCCTTAGGAGTGAAAAAAGGCCTAAACAGAGAGGATCAGTAACAATGGCTATTTTCTCCCTTTCTTTTCCCCCAGTGTCCTTTGAGAAGCCCAGGAGGTGGCTACTGGGACTCAGAAACCTTCTGCTCTATTTGCCAAAGCAAGAACTTAAGCAGTCTTCCTTCGTACTTTTCTCATATATATGGGTGTTCATGACAATAACTTAAGACAGGTGTGTGTGTACAACACTCAAAACCCTCTGTAGAAAGGATGCTGACAACCAATAAATCAATTTGCTACCAGAACAACTAGGAAACTTAATTCCTTCCTTTTGCTCTCTTCGGATTCAGGTAGGCCAGTTATCCTGTGGTTATTTCTTCAGGATTTCTGCTCAACTGTGATCTCTAGAAATAAATTACTGTACGTGAAAGGTGGTGCGGGAACTCAATCATGGACTCTGCTACATGATCAATATGATCAAGCACTAAGCCATTTATTTGTTCTAATACAGTTATATTTATACCCCAAAACTAATGAAATCACCCAAAACTGTTAACATGTTATTGGCTCTTCACTCGCAGCACGAGCAGTTCACATGCCCCTGATGGACTTTGTGTGCATCCTTTCCTGTTTGCTTGCCAGGGTACATCTTTTGGATACATTTCAAAGGTTCCTTTCTCAGGCCTTGTCGATGCAGGTGCTTTTCGTATCTCCAGACATGTATCCCTTTAGTTCCCACAGTCCTCTCAGGGTATGCCAATACACGTTCCCACACTCCCCACAAGGTGGGATATGGACAAGGTCACACCACTGCAGGCAATCTTATTCTAGTCCAGAGCTGCTCAAGTGGTGAATTGTAGTTAGGGCCCCAGAACAAATCCAGCATGCAGAGCAAAAATGAAAGGAGTAGCATGCTGCCTTCAAGGGACTTACCAAATAGTCCTCTGGTTCAACCTGAAAGGGAGGATCTTGCTGTGTCGGAGCTGGATACATTGCACATACCTGCACACGTGCAGGTTTTTACCCAGGCAGGCAGCTGCAGTGCCGCAGCATGTGTGAAAGGTGGGAGGATGACATTCAGAAGCCTTCCTCTGTGCTCAAAACAGCAGCACTGCCTCGGCCCCAACCCCATCCTGCCCATCCCTTCTCACTCAGAAACCACTGTGCTAGGTAGGAAGCTACTTCTTCCTAGCTGAGATCCTCATATGATAATGTCCATCGAAGTGTTGGTGCTTGCGGTATAGGTCAGTAGTAATGACTCAGACCAGCCCTTTACTTTCCTTCCTCTTGTTGGCTAGACACAAAATCCAGCCCATAAACACATTAATCTGTCCCATGCACCAGTAAAGATTATCCCCTGTTAATTATAAATTGCACACAAAAGTCCCTGGCTTGTATTAAGACACTCGTGAATGGCTGTTGAAATCAAACACTTGAAGTTCAGAAATTCAGAATTCTCCCTGCAACCTGGATGTAGGGTGTGGGGGGTTTGTTTTGGCTTTTTTTGGTGAATATAATTACACATAATAGTGTAACTTTTAATGAGATAAACATAATAATTTTTCATCAGCTTAGTTTTTGCAGAGGAGGATCAAGAAAGCTGAAATGTGCCTTCCTTTGCATGAGAGGTGTCCTTGAGGTGGATGGAGCTTTCCAAGGCTCTATGTGTAATAACGGAGTGCCCTCTGTTGGGAAGCTGTCCCTGACACTGTCTCCTGGCTGTGTCCAGATGAGATAACATTAACACAAGCACCATACTGTCATACATGTTCCTGTACATTGGTGAAGTCTGTTTAAAAATCAACTTACCTTTTCCTCCCTCAGATATTTTTGTTAGGCTCGAGCGAGCAGTCGCAGTGGATTACTATTAAGGCTTTCTGTGAGAGTGTTCAAGAAAGTCCTACCATTTTATGATAGTTTCAGCTTTTTAAAAAGAAAATCTCTGTGATTTTAGCTGCAGAAAGAAAAGAGAGCCCCTTGTTCAGCTCAATGCACACGAGTCAAACTGGCTCATGTCAGCAGGGAGGTGTGTGGGGCTGCAGACTGGCTGCTTACTCCAGGTCTGTAGATGTTGGAGATTACCTTTAGCCCAAAGAAGCAGTTCCTAGTCTTTGTCCACACAAAGAGGGGTTGTTGAGTACAGGAAGCAAATCCTACTGCCTGGGATACCCTCCCCTTTAGTGCAAGTTACTTCTCCCATTCCTGACAACAGGAGAAACCCCTCTCCCCTGGGTTTTGCCCTATCCCGCTTCCTCTCCTACCCTGCAGAAGCAGGGCCACGGTTGGTCCTTTATCTCCCATCCTGTCCTACCATCCTCAACATCCAATCCTAACCATACATCAATGAACCCTCACTCGACTCCAAAAATTGCAATGAAATAATGCTATGGTTCTCCAAAGCACCTGCACTGTGTTGGTCCAGGATAAGCTAACTGGCAGGGTTTACCTGGAGAACACAGCTCTGGTCACAGATATCTTCTGTGGTCCAAAACACTTACTCTAAGCCAACTCTTACCTGGTTTCTGATCCTTAATATCAGTGACCTTGTTAGGCCTTGAAAATACATGTTCTCTTCTGGCCCATGGTAGCACAAGACCAAAACCCAGCTAGGCCACCCATGGTAGCTTTCCTGAAGGCCCTAAACTTGAAATGAATCCTATAATGGTCCACAAATTTAATAATAGAGAAGTGAGTACATGTTCCTGAAATCACCTACACAACGTTGGCATGTTTTATACCAGGAGAGGATTGCCTATGCCCCTCACCTCCATACCTCAGCCATGGAAAATGAAACCTTTCCCATATAAGGGGTTGTAAAGACAGATGTGAGCTTGCAGAGAAATATGACCATCCACACAGTGGTGGGGAAGTATTGTTTATCTGGGGCTATGATGCTATTGTTGGAGGGGCAGACTGAAGCAGGATTGTTTCACATAAGCAAAGGCACAGTTCTCACAAAGTAAGCTTTTGTCCTTAACTCACAAAAAGAGCCTTTTTAGTGATTCTCACTGTGTGATATTTTCAGTTTTGTTTGCATTTAATGAAGATTGGGACAAGCATAATACTGAGAGGAAAACATAAAAACAGAATGACCTTATAAAAAGTAGCTTTTCTACCTTAGAAAAAAACCTTGGTACATTACATTGGAGGCTTAGTCTGTAAACTGGCTGAGGTAGGGACCACATCCTTGTCCTGTGCTCACAGTGCATTTGTTACAGTGAGAGTTTCTTCTCATCACATCCCCTGGGATGGGTAAATTGCAGTCCCCAGAGCATAAATAAAGAAAAAAAGACCAAAAGGCTGTTTAAAGGTTAGCATGTCACAACTGTAAGTCAGTGGATATGAGCTCTAGATATTTGACTTCTGTCAAGGGACAGAAGGTGAGGGAAACAAACCTTATAAGGTCCTGTGTAGTCTAGCATTTGAAGTACTTACAGGCTACAGCTAACAATGACTAATGAAGTGCAAATAATGATTCATACTAAGTCTAGAATATGTCATACTGTGCTTTCTCAGAACACATCAAGGATAAAGTTTCTTTCTGTTTTGGGCAGGTGGTCCAAATGCCCAAGTTAACTACCAACCCAGCACCCAGGTAGCTCTTTAACAGCCCAAAGATCCCATTTGCTGCCTTGCTGACTCCATTCACCCCCCTCTGTTTTTTACCTCTTCTCTTACTCTTTCAGTGCTTCAAGGTTCCTCCTTCCCTGGACATTCTCCTCCCTCGTTAGAGATTCTCACAAAAATAACATGATCTCCCAAGGTCCATCATAGTAGGGTACCCACATCCAACCACTGTCACCCCACTGCACTGGAGAGTTGTCAGATCGTTCTCTGTAGTGTTTGGGGTTGGGCTGCATATTACCTGCAAAACTCCCAACAGCAGCTTGGATATCTTCATCTTTATCCCATCCCTGGTGCAGCAGTGAAGGTCTGCCCTGCAGGACTCACAGTGATCATGCTCCATTCAGGTGTTGATTTTTTGCTGAGGTGCATTCATTGATGCTGAGTAAGGGATGAATCCTGGCTCCACATCTTCCCACAAGGAGCACACAGATAAAGCTTCTCTCCAGTGTGAACCACCTGGTTTGCAGTCAGGTCAGAATTCCCATCAAAACCCTTTCCACAGTCACAGCATCTGAGGGGTTTCTTTCCCATCTGGGCTCTCTGTTGCTGATTATAAAGGTCAAATTTTGTTCATTTTCATATGCGTTTTTAGATGATGGGTTTCCTTATTTTCAGCTGGGGCAATAGCAGCAGCAGCTGGAATAGAGGGGAAAAAATAATCAGATATTATTAGTCCCCCAAACACCACATGAAGAGCAGCATTTCCGACAATGAAAGCCATGAACCGGTTCTTCAGGTGAAGGGTTCTGGTATCAAGAGCTTGCAGCCCGGAATTCATGGGTTCTCATCTTCCATCTGCCACCAACTCTGTTACAGCTTTCATCAGTCTATCTCTGTTTTATATAGTACCTCTTACCACCAGGTGCATGCCACAGTTATACAAGTGGAGAAAAGTGAGATGAGGAAGATGGTAGTGGGTGAAGAAACTTGCACAAAGTAGCCCATCAGGCCAGAAGCAGAAATAAGAACTGGATACATGCTTCCAGAGTCCTTGACCAGTGTGCTTGCCTCTTTCTAGGCTGGTATGTTCATCATAAAACAATGATAAATCTTACTCCCCAGCCTATTTTGCAAAGGTGTGATGTCCTCAGTAGATAATATCTGTATATAACTTTGAACACTCAAAAGTTCTCTTTCCGTGCTCAATGAAATGAGCTACCTCAAATGCCTCTAGGTAGTTTATCCAGTTTGTGGATATGCTATCCCTGAAGTTCAGATGTACCAGGGCTGACTCTGAGAAGGCCCATCTTGTACTGATAGGAATTATGAATAAGAACATGTCTAGACTGTTTCAGAGTCAGCTTGGATCTGGAAGGGCATGGTGAAGCGCCCAAGCTAACGTGCACTGATGGAGCTAGTTTTGGGGTATCACAGCAGAGGCACCTGGATGGGCTCCCTGCAGAGTCAGGTCAGACCCAGCAGCTGTGGCTCAGCATTGTCACTGCTGAGTCTGTGCTGGTCCTGGGGGTGGAGCCTTGCAGAGCAATCTGTACCACAGTCCCCCAGATTCCTGTCTCCCAGAGGACCTTTTATCCTCTGTACCCAACAGATGTGGGCTACCTGTGTTTTCATGTAGCACTGTGCCTGAGCTCACAAGCTATGTGGATGTCAAAGCAAATTACCCAGATCACTATGAGACAGAGCCAATAAGCTCTACCAAGGCCATTTAGTCATTCCAGTGTCACTGCAGCATATTTCCCAGCAGAGGACATGGTTTGGCCGTGTCAGGGTAGTTCACTTTTCTCTGCAAGAGATGAACTGAGGAATACCTCCCTAGCATAGTCCAGGGACTGCCATCAAGTCCTAACCAGCTGTGCCATTAGCCTTAGATAGTTGGCTGGCCAACTGTTGGCTGGAGTTATTGGTAGTGGGGCCATTTGGTGGTGAAAGGCCAGACTGAACTCAATATCTGACTAGATGATTAACATTAGACACCAATGCAAGCATCTCCAAAAAACCTCCCTAACTCTGTTTCTTTTAGGTAATGGAGTTAAGATGCCCTGATGGACTCGATATCCCCTGATGGACTTGATATCCCCTGATGGACTGGAATGTCTGTGTGCATCAGTATAATCTATATCTTGGGAGTGTTTTGCTCTTGTTGGGAGTGTTCTGCTCTATGGTGGGTCCCAAAAGAATGATACAATCTGTTTTTTTTCCAGTGCCTGAGGTATCCTATGGCTCCATAACCTCAGCTGGTAGAGAGGCGACTGTATAATCTTGCTGTGAGATTGTCCCAGCCCCCAAGCATTTCAATAGGAATAAAAGTGCCCCAAAGAACACAGAAGTGACCAGCACTTCTCTGCAGGATGCTACTCTGCAGTTTGCTACATACGAATGGGAGATAACAGAGGAGAAGGGCTGGTAGCAGGAAGGCGGTGTGATGGGGTAACATGCATGAAATAAATAGTGTTAAAAGCTTTTGCCAGCACTTACCTGCTTGAGAACTGCCAGGCAGTTTCTTTGAGAGGAAAGATCAAAGTTTGCTATCCATTTTTCTCTTAATGATATTTTGAATTTAAATGCTTGCATTTATAGTAGTAAAAATAGCATTTGTAAAACTATAGTAGATTTTTTTAATCTGAATGCTAAACATTTTTATTTATTGCCCATACATTTAATGACCCATATGATATGTATGGATTTTTTAATTCAATTTTTTAAAAGATTAAATGGTTCTTTACTTTCCAAAGGCTGAGAAATAGCATGGCAGTCCATCCTGTACTGAGAGAGCGTGACAACATTTGCGTAACTTCTTACAGCTTCCGGTGAAGTGGGTTTCACAAACTCCCTAGGTAATCTCTTCCAGCACTGCCTTATTCAGAAAGTTTTTGCAACATCTAGCCTTTTTCTTTTTTTCCTTTCTTCTTTTCTTGCCTGAAAATTAAGCTGATTAGATACTATCTTTGTCCTTCCAGCAATGTAATCGCTGCCTCTCTTAATAACAACCTCTCATGCCCTGCAACCGCGTTATCACGTCCTGCCCTACTTCCAGCCTTCTCCTCCAGACTCAACAAACCCAGCTCCTCCGCTTCTCCCCAGAGACTGTTTTCCAACCTCTTATCACTGCAGATGTGTTCCCGTGCCCATGCTCCCTGCCCGGACCAGCCGGGCTGTGTGCTTTCCCCCTGCCTAGTTTTGGTGGTGGCTTCTTGCCTCTCCCCAGCCTTGCGCTGCCACCCCGCAGCCCCAAGCCCCGGCACCCCCGTCCCCAGGTGGGCTGGGATGGGTGCTGGGGCCCAGGGAGGGTGCTGCATGGGTGCGGGGGCCAGGTGCTGGGAGCACCGGTGCCAGGCCCCCAGGCCCTGCTGAGCGCAGGAACCAGCATGTGCAGTTCACTCCTCGTACTCCCAGCCCTGCCAGGAAACCGGCGTCCTTGCTTTCTGGGGTTTGCCCTGAATTCTCATGTTCAGGAAAATCACCAACTCTCTCCTCAGGTGCTCTCAGATCTTAGAATCACAGAATGTCTGGGGTCAGAAGGGATCTTTTAAGATCATCTAGTCCAGCCCCCTGTGAGGTGCAGGGACACCTTCCATTAGACCAGGTTGCTCAAAGCCCCATCCAACCTGACCTTGAACACTCCCAGTGCTGGGGCATCCACAGCTTCTCCAGGCAATCTGTTCCAGTGTCTCACCACCCTGAGCACAAAAAATGTCTTCCTTATATCCAATCTAAATCTATGCTCCTTCACTTTAAACCATTGCCCCTTGTCCTGTCACTACAAGACCTAGTAAAAAGTCTGTCCCTATCTTTCTTCTAAGCCCCCTTCAAGTATTGAAAAGCCACAATAAGGTCTCCCTGGAGCCTTCTCTTCTCCAGGCTGAACGACCCCAACTCTCACAGCCTTTCTTCATTGAAGAAATTAATTAATTTCTGATTAATTTCTGGTAATTTGCTTTGGAAATTCTGTTAGGAGGCAAGGATCCCCTCACTCTATGGGATGTGTGCATTTCAGGAACTCCTAGAGAGGAAGGGCTACCAAAAAACAGGGGTAAGTCATCTCCATCATTTTAGGAGCACCAGCTTCCAGGCATAGTTCAGGTTATGTAGCCCCACATTTGGCTCTTGACAGCTCTTGTATCAGCCTCTTCAGTGGACAGCAGTGGAAAACCTGGTTTTGTGCAGTGTTACAGAACCAAATCCTTACAGTCTAAATCAAGACCCCAAACAGTATGTCATTAGCTAATTATTACCAATAGTGCTATAAATGCTTTATTACAAAAGTGGCACATTCCACTTTTGGTTATTTCAGGCTGAAGAAAAGAAGTTTATTACCATTCCCCCCTCCCAGCAGCCCTCTCACCCCAAATCATTCTTACATCCCTCCCATGTGTCCAACAGATTCAGTGTCCCTAAACCAAGTATTTTGACCTGCTGCCTGGACAAGATATTGCATAAACTGCCAAACAATATGGGTAAGGACCAGTCTCTCCCTGCTGATCCTCCAGTGGGGGTGCCAGTAAGAGCTCTCTGCTGTGCCCAGCTGCTGACCCCCAGCTATAGGAGCATGCTCATCTTTGATTCTTCTGTGTGGTTGTTAGATTTGATTGAAATGAACTGGTTGGTTCCTAAGTAACTAATGAGGGACTGACTCTGTGATTTTAAAAAGTGTTATTTCCTCAAGACAGTACAGAAAAAAACCCTCCACGAACCTGTCAAAAATATATCAAGAAATTGATCCCCAAATTTACCAATATGTATTTTAATAAAGATCAAATAGATCTTTTGAACCGTCTTCTGATTTTTAAACTTCTATCTCATTCTGAATATATCTAAGTGGAAAGAAAATTTGAGATGAACAGACTGACCCTGTATTCACAGGGAAGAGGGAGTAGGAAAACACTTTTTAATTCTCTTTTCCCACTTCATCCAAAATCTCTTGGTTCTTGAGAAGAGTGGTGGAACAGAAGAGGTCTGTCTGCTTGCTGCAGCAGCTCACATTGAACGCTTTTCTTGAGAAAGCTGGAGAAAGGCAGGCAAGCAACCAAAGGCGCCAGGCATAGCTTTTGCTCCCCTTCTGTCAAGGGTTTGCTTCTGCAGGGTAGCTCCTGAAGAAACTGGGGTGGGTTTGAGGGAGCCCAGGTGAAGATTGAGGCTGTGGTTCATCTGCCCATATCCCAATAGCTGCAATATGAGTGTCTCCATCTGAGTTATGGTCCAGGCTCCCTTCACGGCAACTGGAGAGAAATGGACACTGTTAGCTGGTGATTCATCTGACCTATTTTAGATCTCTACCTTAGGAGTAGGTGAATCATGCCCTAGAAATGCTTCTTGAATATTTGAATAAGGGGCTTTTCATGTTTTGTTCAATGACTTATTCTCAATTTGTTATATGCAAGATTTCTTGCTTTTGAGTAATATTTTTAAATTCTTTTTATTTTTAATACAGAGTTAATCTTTGCTCAAGATGAGGACGTGCTGATACGACATCTGCCTCTGAGAGCTGGCTTTCAAAAAATCAGCAGTTTCACTCCTGTGATTTTGTATTTTGTCTTCTGGAAAGGATGTGTAGAATAGAAATTATAAAGACA